ATCATTGGCTTTTCAAACTGGACAGAATAATTGCATAGACCACACTTTTCCATCACTATCTTCTCTCGTCTTCAGCCTCTTCCTTGAGTATAACTCAACTCTTTTTCTTTTTTTTTTTAAAGTGTATTTATTTATTTATTTATTTATTCATTTGAGACAGAGAGATACAGAGAGAGCATGAGCAGGGGGAGGTGCAGAGGGAGAGGGAGAAGCAGACTCTCCGCCGAGCAAGGAGCCAGATGTGGGACTCGATCCCAGGACCCTGGGATCATGACCTGAGCCGAAGGCAGAGGCTTAACCATCTGAGCCACCCGGGCGCCCGAGTATACTCAACTCTTTTTCAATGTGATGTCATTGCACATACTGAATCTTCTCACCACTCTAAGACTCAGTTTCCAAATCTGCAAAATTCAGACAATGGTGGTTCATTGCTCATAGAGTTGTTGCAAGGATTAAATGAGGTAATTGTATATCAGAGGTTTAGCACAAGTGGCGACTATAAGGTCAAGCATAGTGACGTAAACATGGTAAGCACAACTATTATTATTATCTGGGACAGCAGTGAATGTATGCATCTTGTAGACTCTTGGGAACTATGCAGCCAGGGGAAAAAAGGGATTCCTGGTTTATCTATGTTAGTCCCGGGGCATTGGAGGCAATGTATATCTATGCACTAGAAGAGAAATGGACAATTAACAGCAAAGGTGGGATTCAGATTAGACACAAGGTGGGACTTTCAAGGGGTGAGGATTAGTAAACCCCAGTAGTGTAATCATTTTTTCCTCCCCAAAAGTCTATATGAAGAAATACAGAATCTTGTAATTTGAATAGTTTAGCATGAAGTGTAAAGGCACAAGGACAGATGAATTGGTCTCATTATCATATTTCCCATTATCTCAGAAATTATTTGAATCATTCACTGTTCATTGGACATCTGGAAATGGGTACAGACTGTCAAGTACCCTGATGTCCCTTGATGCTGGTGGATAATGATCAGTTTCATTGTACTTAGAGAAGTCATGGGCACAGAGAGAGTAAGGATTTTCCCCAGAGTAACACAGTAACATCAGTGAGGTGGGATTTGAACTGCTTTAGGTCGAGGGGTAACTATTTCTCTGAGCTGGAGCTGCTGCCTCCTCAGATCACTAGGAGGAAGGATGCCTAAGAATCTCTTTAGCTCATGCTCTGAGTGCCTGGATTTGCAACTCCTAGAATCACTTCTCCCTGGTCTCCCCTCTTTCTAATGGCAGAACAATACCAATCAAGCAAAGAAGCATCCTCTAGACATGGATGGCAAATTGATTTGATCTGGAATGCCAGCTTCAGCCAGTTAGGGGTAGCTCTTTAAAGAATGTGTTGAGAAGGATTCTGAGGTCTTGTCCCAGCAAGAGTGCCGTAATGGACTGGTGAACTGCTGGTGGATGTTGGCCACCAGCAGACCACAGAGGACAGGCAGCAACTGCGTGACATACTTGTATTCACTAACCAGCGTATTGAAAGGTTGCAATTTATGAGGTGGACTGTTTGCACCTGGGAGATCAGAGCAATTCCCTGAGGGAATGAGAACAAGATGGTTGTATTTTGATCCACTGATAGAACTGGGGCTTATGTCATATTGGAGAAGACCTACAGCCTAAGTCACATGCAGCACAATTGCTGCTTCTCTCTGTGCTATGCTGGTGGCAAATATCACTAATCCATCATAGCAGGCTTTCTGGGACATGACTTCAGAATCTTTCTCAACACATTCTTTAGGTAGCCACTACTAATTGGTTGGTGTTGGCATTCTAGACTTGATAAGGTGAAAAGGAGACAGATGTTAGGCAATGGGACCCCAGAAGGTGAATTAGACTGTACTCCTTCAGGGAAGGGATCATGCCTTGTTTATCATTGAACCCTCCATGCCCGGGATTGTACCTAACCAAGTTGAGGCATTGCTGAATGATTATTGAACCAAATAAGGACTTGTGATGCCAACAGCTGTCAATTCCAACAGTAGCAGCAATAAGCAATAATACCTACCATTTAATGGGCATTTGCTATGAACCAGACACCATGCTAAATCCTTTACAGGGAATATTTCATCTAATCCTCACCGCCACCATAGGAGATGTGCATTAATATCTCCATTTCACAGATGGGGAAGCTGAGGCCGAGACTTGTAACTAGCCCAGGGCCATCCAGCGCAAAAGTGGCAGAGCTGGGCCTCATACCCTAGTCGGTCTGACTCTAGAGTCTGCGCTCTTAAAAATACCAATAATAACTTCCATTTTAGTAAACTGTTCCAAACACCATTCTGTGCCCCGGACATGCATTCAGTCCTCTAATCCTTACATTTAAACACATGATATTTACTCTCTATAGAATCTTCATATTACTGATATGGAAACTTAAGCACAGACATATGAAGTCACTACTCCATGATCATGTAGTTAGGAAGGGGCAGAGCTGGGATTTGAACCCAAGTAGCCTGGCTTTGATGCCTGGGATTTATCACCCAAGATTCACCATTTAGGAGCCTCACCACCACGACTCTATACATGGTTCATTGGTATCTGGTAGTTTTTACACATTTCCACCTGACCATCCCACACTTCACCTTCCTCACCTTTAAAAAGGAGTAAGAGCAGGTACCCCTCCTACCTCTTGCTACAGTTCCAGGGTCAAAAGAGGCAATGTTATGCAAATGGAACTTTATCAACATTCTGGGAACTTAGAACCAGAACAGGCTGAAAGATGTTGATTGATCTTGTGGGGGTAGGATCCCAGCTACTTCCCCCCCCCCCCCCCCCCCCCCCCCCTCCTCACCCCCCAAATGTCATGACTAAAGATGGTTTTAAATATCCCAGGCTACTTAAGGGGCCAGCTCTCAATGGCATTTAAGATGACAGTCACCTTCAGGGTGGGCAGTGGGCCCACGAGTGATAGCAGAGTGGGGAATTTGGGCTGGGGTATAGGCAGGAGACAAGTAGAACCTACTCTCTACTTTCCTCCTCCTCCAAGCTCCCAGCCCAACCCCACCTCTGGGCTGCTGCAGCCCACTTCAAGAAGCCGGCAAGTGCATCTCTCGTTGTCGACCAGAAGGGGTCACTGCAGAGCGAGCAGTGCTCTTAGTCACTCTCTTAAGCAGGCACACAAATACCCAAATACACACATATCCAAAGCCACGTACATTTCTGGATCCATACATCCATACTCTGTTTCCCCAGGGTTCTTTCTTCCTTCTCCTCCCCCGTCTTATTCTCTTTGCCTTACTTCTCCCCTTTCTCTCCCATGTCCCTCCTCTCCCTTTCAAAGAACTTCTGAAGTTCACATTGGCGCCCAGGTCTCTTGGTCTCTGTCCCTGTCAGCATCAGCCAGAAACATGGGTTTGTTCTGGCTGTGGCCCAGACCTTGTGCTAGGTGCTTGGAGGCCTTTAAGAGTTGGCAAGGCCTCCTTCCAGGAATTTGCAACCTGGGGAGTGGGAGTAGTAACTCTTCGGAGATTAAAGGGCTCCAAGGGAGAGATGCACCGAGGGGTCCTGCTACTGTCTCTTTTTCTTAATGAAAACCCTGGGGGTGAAACTAGAGAAATTCTGCCCAGACCGTGTGCCTCTAAGGGTTTATTTGTGATTCTGAACTCTCACTTTCTGGGATTAGGGTTGAAGTGGGAGAGGGGGTAGAAGATGGGGAGAGAGACCTAAAAGTAACTATCCCCCTGTAATCCTGATTTCCCCCCTCAGATCCCTCTCTCTAAGTGCTTTACTTTTCCAAAAGGGACTCCTTTCCTGAGACAAGCTATGTTAATTTCTTAACCACTTTTCTGTGGTTGTGGCTAAATTCCCCAGGAGTGGATGGGGTGGGGTGGGGTGGGGGGCACTCTTTCCTTTGGACGGGTTTGGCAGCGGGGACATTGGGCTGGCTGGCTGTGAGGCACAAAAGAAATCTTCCTTACAGCGCCGCAAGCACAGATGTAGCGCTGCGCCCCTCTGCGGGCGGGGACCTGGCTTGGCAGATGGCGAAAAGCCGAATTGGCGAAGGATTGTCCATCAAATGGCACTTTCTGGGTGGTGGGGATCTCGTGGTGCCCAGGCACAAAGAGGAATGCAAGGGACCCCCTTTGCTGGCCCAAGCAGTCTCTCCCAGAAGTGAGAGGGTCAAGTTGGCTTGGGCGGCTAGGTTAAGTTTTTTGGGTTTTTTTTGTTTTTGTTTTTGTTTTTTTACTCCCCCCCCCCCACACTAGAAGATCTGCCACAAGACTTGCGAAGGGGATTGAGAAGGGAGGTGGCTGGGCCCAGAGGACACGCAAGAAGAGGTGGGGGAAGGGGGGAAGGCCTGCTATGGCTGGGGAGGAGAACAGGCTGGGAAGCAGGATGTCCTGCCTGGTTCAGTTCGGAGTGCCTGGATTGCCTCTCTGAGGGGTCAACGCCGCAACTCTGTCGCCACGGGGCCCTGGTGACAGGCACATGCCCCGCCCTTTCTCCTCCCAAGACCTGCGGGCTTTTGTTATGCAGATGGCGGCAGGAGGCTGTGCGGGAGGAGGAGGAGGGAGTTGGTAGGGAGGAGAAGAGACGGAGGAGTCGGCGGTGGGGGGGGGGAGGAAAGTGCTGCTCGCGCGACCAGCCTCCTCTTCCAACGTCACATTGTGCGAGAGACAAAACCCGGGCGCGCCTGAGCTCACACGCGCACGCACACACAGACGACCCCGTCGCCTCTTCTCTCTTGGCACTGCCGAGAAAGCCAGCCCTCCCTTCCCTTCCTGGGGCGCGGAGGCTTAGCAAGCTCAGAGCTCAGCCCAGACACAACACAGAAGGCGAAGAAAGACGGCGGATCAGCCTTCTTTCTCCCCTGCCTGCCTGGGCTGAGGCGCCCCATCCCCCGCCCTGAACCCCCGATCTCTGCCACCCCACCCCTCTGGGTTTCACAAGGACTGAGCCCGGAGCCGGGTGTGCCCCCATTTGGAATCCACGTTTCAGCACTTCGGACAGCGCCCGGACGCCCCGGGCCCCTTTGGGTTGGCTATGGCGAGCGTTCAGCAAGGGGAGAAGCAGCTTTTTGAGAAGTTCTGGCGAGGAACCTTTAAAGCTGTGGCCACCCCGCGTCCCGAGAGCATCATTGTCGCCAGTATCACGGCCCGCAAGCCTCTGCCAAGGTAATGACCTCCTTCTTAGAAGGAGAGACCCTGATGGCCCTTCTTTCCTGGCCTGTGTGTCCCCCGAGCCCTGAGGGGTGGATGCAGGCAGCTGGGCCAGGGCGCCTGTTTTTTTTCCCATCACTACTCGGTGTCTCTCGCTCGAACATGGGAACTAATTGCCTGTGTGAGGTGGAAGCTGGTGAGAAGGGACAGGGAGTCTTTAGGGGGAGCAACACTCAGTTGTCTGCTGACCTGGCAGCTGCTGTTTGAGAGGTTTTGCTTTCTTGGGGTGGGCGGTGTAGGTGAGATAGGACTTGACTAAGAAACTTTTCTTGGTATCAGAGCTCAGAGGACAGGGGGGCAAAGGAATGGTGGATTTGGGGTGGCTGGGGGTGTTGTACAAGAAGAGAAGATGAAGGTTGAACCAGCTCAAGTGGTGTTCAGAGGTAACGGCACATTTCTATACTCAGCTCAGAAACTAGCGAGCTCTGAACATTTTGACAAAAGCCCATATGCTGTTCCCTCAAATATACCCTAAACAGCACCCTCCTCCACGCCTTTCTGGCTGCCACTGCTGCTGAATTCTCTCTTCTCCAGCATCCAAAACCAGTACTCTGAGCTCAAGAGTCAGGGAGGAGCCTTCCAAGATCGTGAAGATGATCTTGGAAGAGTTTTATTTGGTTTTTCGAAAAGGATCTGATTGCTTTGAACTCAAGAATGAGCACAGACCCACAGATGGTGAAAACAGTGGGATGGGGGAGAATAGGGGAAGAAAAGAAAGAAAGGCAGAAAGAAAAGAGAAGAGGAGGTGGGGTGAAATGGAGAGAAGGCTGGGGAGAACATTCCAAGACAGAGAAAACCCAATTCTTTTCATAAAGCATTCAATTTAGAGGAGTTTGAGAATGAAAGGAAGAAGCCTGTGCCCTCTGTCAGGGAAAATCAAGGCAGTATGAAAACTCATCTTTTGCTGGTGTTGGATGAGTGGTTCAGTGGGAGAAAAAGAACAAAGTGGACCAGGGGAGACCACTTGGAGGATGTATTAATCCTGGCAGGCTCCATTAGAGAGCAGATTGAAAACAGGTCTGTGAAAGTGCTTCAGACAGAATGCCTGTTCTGGAACCACAGGATCTGAACTTTCCAGTGGGTGACGGGGAATCCTATCTACAGAATCAAACTCGGGCTGGAGAACTTTTCGGAGTCTGCTGGGAGCCTAGCTCATGCATGTCTTTAGAGAAATGGGTACCACATATCGGGAATGGGTGTATAGTCGAAGCAGGATGTGGTAGGCTGCAAACAGCAGCCAGTATTTGTGGCTGGGAGGGAGGGGGACACCTCGTGACACAGGCTGGAGAAGGGGAATGAGAACACCAAATGCCGTCCAGGACTGATGTTTCTCTGCTTGGGAAAAGGTTCTTTGTAGAGAGTTTTGACGTCAGCAGTTTTATCTTCCTGGGTTTCAGCCATCCATTCTGCCTTTGGAGTGCACCTACTATTGGCAAATCCGGTGCTGTGTGGGCCAAAGAATATGCCCTTGTAGAAGAAACTAAAGACAATTTCATTGAAAACTACATGTGTGGCATTTGGTTCAGAGTCTGCCATATATTTCAGGGATGCAGGAAGAGGAGAGCAGATTCGGGGTGGTATTTGAATACAGAAAACGCCTTAAGTCCACCTGACTTGGTACCTTCACCCTTTGCCTATCTGTCTGTTACTGGCATGTCCCTTTCTTGGTCATATTCTCAATCATGTGAATTGCCCGAAGTCTCCTAACCCTCATGCTTTTTGTAGCATTGTTTAAATCCCAACATAATGCATCTGGGACTCTTAACAATAGCCAACCCTCCTCCCCCAGGTGTCATTTCCCTCTAGGTGTCTTTTAACATCTTGGGTCTCCTTACCCCTGGAAACCACTGCTGGGGTGAAAGTCTGAGTCATAAGCCCCTAATTTATGTCACGCTGGAAGGATCTTCTTCGATAGTTCTGTAACAGGTGTGGCCCCTCTGTAGAATAGATTCCAGTTTTATAGCTGTTACTGCTGGTTTGGGGTGGGAAACGAGTGGGGAGCATTTGTATTCAAGGCTTCAGGGAAGGCTGGGTTTGAGTCGTCTTTCAACAGACTGTCTGTAAAACCTGAATCATCCCCATCCCCATCCAAGCCAACCACATCCAGTGAGGTCGGTCTCTGTATCCTTTCTAGTGTTGTATGCTTACTTAACAGTGAAAGTACCATGTTTCCAAAGCTGGGTTCTCAGGAAGGAAAGGGACAGAGACACTGGCATAGCATCAGCTGAGCCCCAGTGGCTTCCTCTAGAGGCAGTCTAGGGACTTGGTCTGACCAGAAATGTCATTTAGTTCCATGAGTCAAGACCAGCACTCAGTCAGCAGATCTGTAGAGAGATGGGGGAGGGATTGGATGAAACACCAGCCAGGCCAGTTCTGTTGGTTACACACTTAATACGTGTTTATAGATGAGGGCTACCCCTCCTCTGAATGAACTTCCCCAGAATATTTTAAGTCTATCTCCGAATATAATTTAGTACCAGGATAGAAGCTTACATTCAATTGGTTGATTTCATAGCACTATGCATATATCATACAATCACACTCCAAGCAAAACCTCCCCTTGTTCCCCCCTCCCCGCCTTCCTCTCCCCCTCCATGAGGCATACTTGATGAGGCAATAGCTTTATTGTGTATCAGATTGCAAGCAGATGTCTGACTCAAATGTCCGAACGTATAGCAGAGTGGGAGGCAGTATATCATAGTGGTTAAGAGCTCAGACTTGAGTTTCAGACAGACCTGGATTCTTGTTCTAGCTCTACCATTTAGCCGAGTGTCCTAGACAAGAGGCTTTACCTTGCTGAGCCTGTTTTGTCAGCTTGAAATAGAAATAATAGTAGCCATCTCAGACATTGAATTATGAGGACTGAGTCAGGTAAAACATTTCGCACAGTGTGTGGTCCAGAGTGATTGCTTAATAGACATCACTTCTAAAACAAACCGCTCTGTTTATAATGGCCAGAGGAAATCAACATTTCCTTCCAGTATTGTGTTCCTCATGCCTACCCATTTCTCCCCCAAAAGATGCTAGCAGTAAATATTGTGGGATTTCAGCTGCTGACAGGCCATGCATTGAGATGGAATTAACACACAGGAGGTGGGGTGGGAGTGGTCCCATCATTCTCTTCCCTGGGGGAAGGTTAGTTGCTTTCTGATAGGACTTTCTTAGTTAGGGGGTGGAGGGCTGGTGAAGAATTATCTAGATTCAGAATGGATTGCTATAACATCCCCACAGAGTATTCTTTTCATTTGTGTAGAGATGACCAGGTACTGCCAGTCCAAAGAAGACTGAAACTCCTGAAAAATTAGTTTGAATCCCTAGTTCCATCAAACCTAGAGCAACTGTATAATTTATTATTCATATCAAGAGTGAAAGGTTTGCTGTGAGTAGTTATTCCAGAATGGAAGATGTAATGGGGACTATCCCAGGCCACCTGGGATGTAGGGTGGCCAAAGTGCAGCCTCACCCTATACGAGCTTGAAAGACGGTCAGCATGAATCAGTAAGATAGTTGGAGAGTAAGAGACCCCTTTTTTGTCCCCACTGAAGAAGTACAGTCATTTCTCCTGGCATTAATTAATTCTCTTTTTTAATTGTTTGGCCCAGAAAAGTTTGTACCCAAAAAGTTTATGCTCAAAGCAGAAAACTTAAGTGTCTGAGGCTAGACCCAACTGTAATAATCATATCACCAGAATAGTAGCTGAGGACCTAATGAACATGTAAAAACCATTTGAAATTAGCATATCAATTGTTTGTGGACGCAGGAGTGTTTGTAAAGGGCTAGAAAGGCGGCCCTTTTAAATGGAATAAGCAATTCCCTTTACAATTCTTTTGGCAAGCTATTAATTTTCTTCGAAAATCCTCTCTATGCAGAATAGTCCAGAAGCAGACTTCAGCCCAGGTCTGTCCAAAGGATCATAAATTCCAAACTATTGGAGATTTTACTGCATAAAGGGAAAGATGGCCAAATTGTGAGGCAGGAAAAATGCCTTTGAACCATTTAATTCCAGACTCCCCTTTGTGCCAAGAGATCAGTTAGCACATTTGTGCTGACTCTGTCCTCGGGAGCAGAGTGAGGGGCAGCTGGGAGGTGATTTCCTGACAGCCTGTGGTTAAAAACCAAGGTACTGAGGGTCATAGAGAATGCTTGCCCTGGCGATGAATGATCGTTTTTCTCTGGAAAGGGAGTGTTATTGTTTGGGTCAAACCTTTCTCCTTGTGAAAGGTGAAATTTGCTGAATGGTATACAGGGGTCTGGGGGGGTGGCATTATTTCTGACACAGCTGTTTTCACTTGGCAACCGTGCTGTCTTAAGATTCGGGCTGCAGTAGACACTGAATGAAAGTTGGATGCATTAACTGAATGAGTACATGCGGTCCAAATCCAGTGTCAGATTTGCTCTCTCCCAGCCCACCCCCATTCCTGACAGGCTGGGGATTCTTGATCAACGCCGCCTAAGAGACACACACTCTGCAGATTTGACTCACACTGGTGTCAGAATGAAGCTCTCGGGATATAGACATCCGTCTGGCTGGGGGAGCAGACATGTCATCTGGTGTGGGTACAGGAGGTTGGACGAAATGCCACCAGGAAGTGCTTTTCAGGGCTGTGTGAGCCTCCATGAACTCCATCCCCACTCTAGGCCACCAGAAAAGAATGGGGGGGGGAACACCCCTAAAAGCCTAACTCCTGTGATGAGGAAAGAAGCCTCCATCATGCACTTCCTGCTCTTGTGAGCACCTCAGGCATGCCGCCGGGGCACAATAAATTTTTAAAAATATCCTTTCTTCCAGAGTGACTGTTTTTACCTTCCTGTGGGGTAGAAGGGCTTGCAGGGGCTTAATAAAACCAGAGTTTTTAAATTGCTCGTTACCAAGACTTTCTTTGAGGTGTGAGAGAACACTTCTGGGGAGAAAGGGGAATGGTGGAGAACTTGGGCTCTGAAGTCAGATCTGCTCA